GGTGAAAAGACGCGACGCGACGGGCCGACGGCACGATGCGACAGATCGACGGCACGACGCGACGGCACGACGCGACGGAGCCGTCGTAGTGTCGCGTCGTGCCGTCGCGTCGTGCCGTCGGGGCGATGGCACGACGCGACGCTAATTTGGCGGGAATAGAACACCATATGATTGGTATGGTGTTCTATAGCCGCCAAATGTGCGTCGTCCCGTCGCTCCGACGCGACGCCACGTGACGGCACGACGCGACGCTTCGACGCGACGACAGGACGGCACGACACAAACACAGCATAACAGTAATGAGGAAAGAGGTGACGCCACGACGCGACGGGACGACGCGACGGAGCTGTTGTAGTGTTGCAGCGCTAGGGCGACGGGACGACGCGACGCAACTTTGGCGGCCATACCACTGACATTGTGCTCGGGCCCGCCTAACAACTTGATCAGCCTGATTCTTGTTCTAGTTCTGGTATTCGGAAGGACATCGTCATGCCGCAACAATTTTAATGCATATTCATATATTTCCATGGAAAGCGCCAATAGCAGCTCACGCTACACAACAGACTCATCCATTTTATACATAGCGATGTCTCCATTTGATTAGTGCCAGTTTCTTTCAACTCTTGCCCCAATTTAATACCGTGGGTGATGCCTGAACTAAGATTATTTGTCACCTGATTTAATTAAGAGTCGCCAGGGAATCTTTGGGCAGGGAACTAGACTAGTTGTTAAACTGCACGCGGAACGGCACCGCGTACGCATATTGCAAGGAAGGTGGTCTACACCCAGTCAATTACCGACTTGATTTAAAGTCTACTGCGCCGTCAGGAAAGCTTCTTGCCACTAGCGGCACGTATAAAGCGAGCACTAGTACAGAGCTAGAGAGAGAGCATGTACCTTATACGCGTACTTAGACTTGAACAGTAATACATAATGCTATACGATTTCTGCAAGGAGCCCTGTAGTGCATGTTATGTCACGTACGTACATGTACATGTACAGTGTATAAGTACTGTGTACATGTACACACACGTGAGTACATGTACATGTTCACAGCGTTTGCAAACCTGACAAAACTTTCTGACCGGGTTTGTATCACAAAATACGGTGCAAAGAATATCAAGAATATCACAAGAGCCATTTGCAACCCTCAAACAATAAGAAAAGTAAAGCAAACGCCGAAACTTACAAGTTTTCAAGACATCAAGTCGGCCTAGCATAAGCTCCGCAAAACTTCTGGTGCTAATGGCAAAACGGCCAGGTCAGCACGTCAGTCTATGGGCTGTTCCGTTGTTCTAGTTTTACTCCCTTTGTGTAACTTTTAGGTAAGGCCTTGCTCACGCTAATCCCATTACCAGTCAGTAAAAAGAACGAATCACCCTAGTTCTAACCCAGGTTTTGTAGTTTAATTTCCTAAGCGGGTCCTCGGTACAATAAATGGGGTGAATTGACCAGAAGTTAGTCACCAGTGCTCTGAGATTGGAATGGCACAGCCGAAACTTTCGAGCAAAAGCACGTACCAAACATAAACTTGTCGCCAGTCGCTAGAGTACCCAGTTCACCCACATTGGAAAATATTATTCAAAATCGAAAGGAATGGCAATCAACTTAGTAACCAATCTACAGGGTCACGTAAACCTCAATAAACCTCTTACAGAACATTAATGACAAATATTTCATAAGTCCAATATTTCTAGCATGTCAACCACAACAGAATAGCAACCTGTGCATTTATGTACAAAGATTATAGCACCGTTTATAAAGTCTATGTGTAATTATTTCCCAAACCAACTGTTAGTTACATCTAGTATGATCAACGGTATAAACAGGCCATGCAACTGCACACACTGATTGAAAATAATACCGGAGTGAAACCAAGACAGGTAAGCCTCGCTTATAGGTTACGGAGCGCGCGACGTCGGGGAATCAGGCATGCAAATAAACTTCCGCGCGTAAAACACATTCGTAGGTGAACTAGGTGAAATTCAGTGTTTGTAAATTATCATCATTGGAAATTTGCATAATTGTCTGTGAAAATTGCATTACTTGTACGTCTGTGATGCACAGGCTACTGAAAGCTCCACACTCATATAGGCCTATATGTGTTTACAAGGATACCAAAACGATTGCATTTGCGCATGAATATCACATTGTTAAATTTGGTTATTTATCATGCATTAAACATTGTGCTAATCAACTGACAGAATCTGCTGACAGCTCACCAATGAACAACTTGTTACGGGTTTATGGCCAATGGCTCCAACTAAAAGGGCAAATGCGATCAGTGACAAAGTCAATTTTGACTGGTAACCTGCGCATTGAACATATATTGGGCGTCATGGAAAATTGGCCAGTGGTTTACAAATTGCCGTTGACCAAACTTGGCCGAAGTTAATGTCCTGGTTGCATAAATTTTAAAGCATGTATTATAACTTAATTAGTCTTTCATAGGCATACAAACTAATTACAGGAAAACAAGGCAAAAATGTTCGGTTCGAGTATATGGGTAGTTAAATTCTATAACAAAAACCAAATACGTTGAATTTGGCTCACTATGATTGAACAACCTTTTATTTCAAGCTATTATTTTCCTATATTGATTTTAATTTCTCGGTTCATGTCTTGTATCCCAAGAATACGCCTTTTGTTGGCTGGTACTCTTCTGCCCCAATAAGAACAGGGTCGAAGATACAGATGCAGTAAGCGTCTTCGTCGTGATTCTTCAGCACATGACAGTCATGCATATTCATTAGGTAGTTTGTGCCATTATTGCAATCCGTTTTTGCATTTGCATGAACCCACTCGCCGCTGGTATCTTGCCACTGGTATGTTAACTTCCCCGCAAGAAAGTACGCACTCTCGATGTGGTTCTCATAGTGTAACCGGGTAGATGTCTTTGGGTAAACCCACGTGTTATAAATACTCACGGGGAAGCCATCTTGTTTAATGAGATATCGCCGGCTACGACCGCTTAACCAGTTTATATCCCTGTCCGTGCCAACTATCTCAGACAGACCTCTTACTACAGCCAGCGATCGGTAGCCCATCTTGGCGTCTGGATAGTAGACTACAAATAGACGCATATCGCTCTCCGCCGACACTGTTAACTCGAAGGTCATATCGAAAGACAATGCCACCACAGTGTCCGGGCTGACATCTCGTTGATCTCCAGACTCCCCACACGTTCCTTTCCCACTGATACAGTAATAGATGTGGACACTATTCTCACTCTCAGGTGATCTAAGAGGAACGGTAGACTTGGCTGGAATGCGTGCCTCATAAGTTGAGAACTTATCGTAATCCTTGTAATCAGTGAGTTGAACGCCGGTGAGGGCGCTATTTGGCAGGGTTACTTCGGGCAGATCGACCGAGTGGATAACTTTCATGATGAAATGTTACTGCAGCTGAAAATTGAACCAACAGCACACTTTGCGAATTCCCGAATGCTTTTTCAAACCTGAGTAACATATTAAAAGAAAACGCTAGACATTCACCATTGTGTCGACTGGGCCGAGTTAACCACTTAAAAATAATTGGGAATATCACAAATAAGTTTTAATTTCCGACAGCAGAATTTTAAAAACAGAAAATGACGTTGGAATTAGGTCGATCACTTTATAAATTTCTAATTATTGACAACAAAAGTAATGGTAACCTGTAGATGAAAAGCATTGAATTTCAATAATGAGATGGCTTTAAACCCACCTCACATCTGCAATTATGTGGCTTTCAACTAGTTACTGGCACTGCAGGTTGTCTTTTTAGCTAGACAAAAAAGGGGAAAACGGTCAACTTACCCCACACACGCAACTAGCTCTTGACAAAGCGTCTATCTGAGTATCTTCCTTGCTTCAGTGTATAGCAGCAATATTGGTGAAATGGTAAACTCATCACTACACATCGACCTAGGGTCGCTTAAATGTTAATAGCGTGGATTAGGGTTTAACTTCACAGTTGCTGTGATGGTATTTACATACTGCACACACGATCAGTTTTAAGTACTTAAATAAACAGGGACAGTCACCGACTGACCTAGGATACATCGCTTATAAAACTGGGTTGGGCTGTCCAAATTGAATTAAGGAAAACCAAAATTTGTATCAGAATGAAAGCTAGTTAACTGTGAAGCAATTTTTTTTGCTTACATGGAAAAAGAACATAAAATTAAAGTTCTTATTTCAATTATTTTAAAAGGGTCATCTTGGATGGAACTTCTTGGTGCATTATTTGATGAGTTATTGATTCGGTGGTGTAGGAGGAGTTGGGTAAGAGGAAGAGGGGGAATAGAGGAATCATGAGTGACTTGCCGGGCCATGGAAATTTGAAAAAAGCTGAGAGGTCGAACCCATTATGACAATATACATGGAGGCAATGTCCACGATACAGATGTATGCAAGTAATATGTATGACATTCCTAAGGACTCTTGGCTCAGAATGGCAAAGGCCTATTCATGCTTTTTTATTGTTTTCCCTTTTGGCGAGACTGATATTTGGTTGCAGGGAAGTCCGCGGAAAAAAGTTTTTAACAATCCCCTTTATTTTTTTCTCACCGCGAAAAAGGGATGGGATTATTCACCCCCCCGTTCAAAAATTTTGGGGATATATACCACCCCCGGATTTACACCCATGTACTCTTTATTGTAGTACGATTTGGGGTCAAGTCTGTGTTTTGAATGAACATTCAAAACAGGCGTTTCTTATCACTATAAATATGCCAAGCATCAAAGTTCCCTGAGATTTCTGAAATACTCCGTCTTCATCCAAAACCAATTTGTGAAGACCGTCTTTACACTTTAATCCCTAAACCAAAAAATTATGATATGAAACCGTTGTAAAATGTATGTTTCTGCAACTAACTGCCACCGACATTATCCAGACCTCTCTGAAGGGGGGCACTAACTGAACTTTTCAAAAATGACTGCCCCATTTTTAATAATAATAATCCTTACCCCCCTTAAGAGCAGGTGGTAGCACCGTTTCCAAAATGCTGGTGCTTTCAGACTGTGCACTCGGTCCAAGTTACAATACTGCACAATTTGAGCATCATTTATGTTGGAACAACGAGAACATTGTATCTGGTATCGAATGAAACTTTATTTTGAGCTCAACTCGCAAACAAAACAAGTTGATGCAGTTGATGATAAGTTTTCCTTTATAACTTCGTTTGAGAGTAGTTATTCATAAAACTATCCTTTCACGCATCAGTTCTGCATCACTTAAAATTAACATATATCCCAAATGCTAAATAAGTACAAAGTGCCCCCAAATGGTAGTAACGCTAAGCTATATGTCGACAGTGCTGAATCCAATTCGATTTTCAATTTGATTTAGTCGGTCCTTTCGACCAAAACCCCTTCCTGTTATTTCGCGTCCTGGACATTGTCATCGTTGCAGATTGATTCGTTTCTTGCTTTGTTTTAGCGATGTGAACAGATGCGTCTTTTTAAACGACTCCCACTGTAATTTGTTTTCTAACTTTCTCTGCAGTTCCTGATCGTCAGGGTAGCTCTGCTCCTGTGAGGTTATAAATAAGAGGTCAAATATCTTAACTTAGATTCCTTGGAAAGCAGTCATATCATCTTCAACCTACAGTGTGACGGAAACCTTCTCCATAAAACAGTAAAATGTCGCTTCCAATTTCCGTGGAATTAAATTGGCTGTGTGTTGTTCTTATCCTGTTACAAAATAGTCGATTTTCAAAATTTTATACTTTGAAAGGGAAAGCTACCTCTCTCCGTAACCGTGTCAGCATCTTGGGAGTTGCATGTTCCCGATAGAACTTCTTGGACATAAGGATACATTCTGCTCCATTACTTACTACGGAGAAACTTGGCTGAGCATCGAAAAGCATATCGGAGAGTCCCTTTTGAAAATACGAAAATCATATAATATCACTAATGTTGGAAAATCTTGAATGTGGTGTTTCATTTATGGGGCATGAAAGAAAATTTACATTTACTTTGTCATTTTTTGCGAGGTACTGTTATGTAATGCAAGAAAGTTAAAAATAATTTCCGTGATAAACTATCTTATAAATGAGGCAATGAATCAATGAACTTACAAAGTATGACCCCTTGGTCAGTGTTTGAACTCTGACCCATATTTGTTCAAAGCCGTCATCCTGATTAAAAAATAAAGAAGAAAACTTAAACTGTGAAACGTGAGGTACAACTGCCAATACTAATGTCATAGAAAAGCAATGCAAACCAAAGAAAATTCTATTTCATGAACAAATGTATTTGACAATTTTGTTAGATTCACAATTTCACTTGAATTTGTGATATTCCATCATACCTCTTTCGTTACGATTTCGTCAACAATTTCGGTTGCCACTGTCTTTCTTTGTCCCACTTGCTCTGGATGTCTTTTCTCTTGTTGGGAATCTGTAGTAAAGGAGGAAATATGTTAATGTTCATTCAATGTAATAAATGCTATATCCAGACCAGAGAAAACAATAGGTCAGTCAAAACAAAAATTCTCTTGTTGATGAGTTAAATCATAACTAAGGTCTTTGGCGGGTTTTGGTGTTTTTGGTGAATTTCTAAAGTCACAAACTGACTCAAAAATTCGTCTTCACTGCAGAAGGGATCTGGTTGATATGCCACGGTGTGTATTGTTTCATGTTTTCTTTTTCCTGTTGAGCAACAGAGACGCATTCACCTTGTGTCTGTTGATTCTCATTGATCACTCGTTGGCCTGATGTAGCCACGTACGATGGAAGCCTTGATAAATGAACCTGGACGAAAAAATCAAGAGATCTGACTTCTGATGTCGTTCAATTATATACACGGAAAATATTAAGAAAAGAATGTAATCACAAGGGTAAACAAATCTATTGGTTATTTAAGCATTATTCCGAAGACTCTAGCTTTATTTGAAGAATGATGTCATTGCAGTGAAGACAAGCCTATAATGAAGGCTTCTTACTAATTCTTGATTTTATTCACTCTAACATTTTTATTTAAAATGCATGAAAATAATTAAAAGACAAAATGGGAGAACGAAGCAGTCACTGACATTTAAGTGCTGTGATGGAAACACGGGCCGATCTGGACGCCTCCCGTAGACTCTCTTGACGTCATTGTTTGTTTCTTCACTGTTAATTTGTGCAACCTGTTCTTTCGCTTCGTTTTGTGCGGTGACGTTTGACGCACTTGGATGTTCGTGATTATCCGGTTCTTCCTCGTGAATATTCAGATCTTTAAGAAAATGTTCTAACTCATCTCTGGTTTTGCGCTGTTGGTAGTTTTCCAGGGTGCCTTCGCGGATTGATAGGCGCTTCCCCTCCGTGGTTAAGTCCGGAGCCCCTGCATATAAATTACAGAAATAATCACTGATCACTATGCTAACCTTTTTAAAAACCACCGGTTAAGTTCCACGTCACGTGCACTGTAAATTCTCAGAAGAATGTCAAAAGTTGGGGAATATTTCCTTTATCTTTAGGTCAGAGCCTATCCCTCTATCAAAATTGTTGTCTACTTCTCCACTTTTCCATTTATGTCGAAGGAAGCCCCCTCAGCAACGTCTCCAAATTTTCAAAGATCCACAAACTTTCCCTGAATTTACCACTGACCGACGTCCTTGAGTTGTAAGCCTAGTCGACAGGAATGAGAAAGGTTTACCTGTTTTACTCTCTTTCCTCTTTTTCTGCTCCTTCGTTTTCTTCTTGTGCAAGAGCTTCATTACTGAGCAACTTCCCTGAAATGTAAATAAAAATTGAAATTAAAAAAAGTACAATTATTCTCAGCTTTGAGAGGAGCAAAATGTGTTTACTTTGTCAATTTGTTTTTAAAAGTCGTAAAACATAAAAGCTTTGTGACTGGACTAACCGATTTCACCATAAGAATCCAGTCTGATTTCTTGCTGTTCTTCACCAAAACGTCTCCTCTCCTAGTGAATAAACATCATACACACATTTAGAATCCAGTGCAACGGTTTACGAACAGAATAGCATAAACAATTCATTTTGATGTCTTAGTATTTTGATGTTGCCACTTTGAAATCTTAGCAACTCTTATTATGGCAATGCAATATTTATATTCATAAAATTAGGAAGGATTACTCAGTGTCATGTAACAGTGTCATAAGAGGTTATAAAAATGTGAAATAAAATCTTTGCCAAAAGGTAAACAGGCTTTTATTTAAAAACCCGTCACTTACCCCTCTAAAATCAAACAAGGGTACATATCTTCTTTTAATGGCAGAGTTGTTAAAAGCGCAACGTTAACAAAGGACACTTTGTTGTACAAAGAGAACTCTTGAAGAAAGTGCATATAGGGCATCGATTACATAAAACTGGGGGTGCTAAATACCCCCTTTACGGCCCAAACCCAGTGTGCTAAATCACTGGCCAGCGGTACCACTGTACGTTGTTTTCAGCAGAGGTTTGTTAACCATTGACAGTTTCCATTAGGTAAACCAACTTACTTGAAATATGAAAAGACACATTTCTTTGGATTTTCAGCGAGAAGATGTATCGGCCATCCCTCAAGAAATTTCAGATTTCTGAGGAAGAAAAAGGTAAAACAGTAAGTTGCTAAGATGGCACTGATGGTGACTGATGAAACTAGCATTCGTCATCATCCAAGCTTCAGTTGTGTACTTAATCACAATTACTGTCGACGAACTTTTGGGAAAGAGAGAATCTGACTGAAATGGCTGTGACTCAAGGGTTGAAGTTGGACTGTCACCGTGGATGAACGAAATTAGGACACACTTTTGGGCGAAAATAAACACATACTCATATTTCTGAAAATATAAAGGAATTTAGGATATTTTAGTGGTCACTGAAAGTTGAAATTCATAACACAGCAGTCTTTGCTTATCAAATTCATGTGCAAATGCTAAATTTGGATTACTAAAATTTCCACAGTATCTTATCTTATTTTTCAGATGTCATCATCCTTTATCTCATCAATATTCTGTTTTCAGGATGTCGTCATCCTGTTAAGATTATCGTATAAAAGACGTTTTCATCCCATGATCAATTTAATCAGGATGTCGATATCTTGCCCGTAATATGACATCATCCTGTATGAGATAAAATATGTTAGAATTCCAACAGGTCGGACGGCACTTCCACAGCTTTCTATCTCGGATGGCACTTCCAGTAATTTTCTAGTGCAGCATCAATGATAATAATGATCATAGTATGTATGCTTCAAGTTTTGAAAATCCTACTTTACCGAACAAAGTCACTTTGGTTGGGGTCCAGAAGCGTTTGAAGCCCGCCAGCCATGAAAATTCTTGTGTAATCCTATTGAGAAATACATAATACTTGTGTTTATTTTATATACAGATACAGCTGTACAGGTATACTTTACATCCTTGAGCGGGTGATGGCGCCCTGTATTTTACCTCGCTTCACGGCTCGCAGTTTTATTCGTGGTTTATTATACTGGAGCATCATGAACATCCGACAAAGCAGCACGGACAAAATTGTGGCTACAAACTTGAAGGAATGTGTGAACTACCAATTTAACGGCCACAGTGACCTCATTGAAACTTAAATATTAGAAATAATAACAAAGTGACTAATGACTTCACTACAAAGCGTAAAGGAAAGACGTGTCACCATGTTCTAATAGCAACAGGTGAATACGCAAAACGCGCATGCTTAATGTTTCGCGTGCGTGCTGATAAAAACGATGATATTTAAAAGTTCCTCGACCAATAACGGTGACAGAAAAGTTCGGATTCTTTTTTGTTTTCATTTTATCTTATGTTGTGAAAAATACGTGAAATTATAAAGTGTTTATACGGTAGATATAGGTATGCACAAAAAAACAACAGTCAAAGATATCATTTAGTAAATCAGATCAAGAAAATTTATTTTGTTACATTTTTACCTGTAATTCATGATTGTGATTTTTTGATCACTAAACTTAACGCTTAATCACTAAACGTTTAGTTTAACTAAACTAAGTTAACGTTTAAATTTGATATCAACATTTTGAAAATTTATTTGTTGAAAATTTTGAAAGTACAGTGTAAAGACTAATTTAAGCAGAATCCATTTCTGCTGGACCACCCGACTCACGGGTTGAGCGCGCTCACGCTTTGGCTATCGCGAAACCCTATTGGTTGAAAAGAAATATAAGGTGCGCGCACTGCCTGTTTGTGGACATGATGACCCACAAAAATGACTTCTTATTCTGGTCGCCGGTTGATTCCATGTATTTTAGCACGTAAATGTTGCCTTATTACACGTTCTTACTAAATTCCTGACTACACTTTGTCTAAAAGGCCTTCCAATAAAAATTGGTTTTGACTCAATATTCAAGGGGTATTTTTCTGTGGAATGTGGATTTTAGTAAGCTTTTAGAGGCTTTTGGTATGGTTGCATGAACTTGAATGATGATAGAAATTTTTCGGTTTGGCACCCATTTCTTGACTCAGATAATTTTATTCTTGTTTCGATCGCAAGCCATACCATGTAAACATTAAAATACATTTCGTTTCTGAATTTAGAATTTCACAAGTATCCTAAAAATAAAACAGATTTGTGAAAACGTCTGTCGGTGTTTGTACTACCTGTAATGGTACATTTTCATGACTGCCCTTTCGCTTGGGGACCAGGGTGTATTTTCCTACATTTAACATACGACGGTAATATTTTTGAATGACAGGCAACCTTTAGATCAACGACACCATTTTCTTCAACGGCTTTTTTCAACTCTTTACGAAAGAAACGTAAATTATTCCCCCCCCCCCCAACGAGCTGTAAAAAGAGTTCATACACACACGAAAGTAGGCCTTTTACAACTTCGGGCCAACCGTTTTTTTATTTTAATTATTCAGTGCGAGCTTGAAGATATTAGCTCACAGCCGAGTTGGGCCTTGATTGGATACCTGCCAAAATTATTATTAGACCAATGCAAACACGTGACCTATCCTTTCATTGTGCACACGCTCTGCCTAGTCTTATTTTGGAGTGTCATCTCTGATTAGGATATCTGTTTGTCATTACTTCACAGATGTAAAATGAAACTATTTTCATAGTCATTGACCACTCGCAGGGAAAGTTTCAGAAATCGTAATGCATTCAACTTTGTCGAAGGGCGATTCCCAATTGACATGCTACAAAGAAACTATTAACATGACATAAAACGAGGTGATGCCATTTGCTAACAAAGAGAGTTCATTTGCTCTTTTAAGTTTATAGGACGAGCATTTTAAGGTTCAAAATTTTACTGTGAACTTTGCAATCCCGTCTGCCAATGGACGTTCCCACTTGCTGCCATTAGATTTAACTTCCGTTCTTATTCCACGGATGATATTCTAAAAGCCAGGACACGTGTAGACACAGCGTTAACATTCGTTTAACGGCATGTTTCAATTTCAACCGGAGTAAAAATGTAGATGAAAGTTTGCACAGGAAATTGATTTTGTCAAAGAGGCCCTTAGCCGACATGTTGAAACTGGTAGGGATCGACAAATAACGGCTGGCAAAATACAAATCAATGCAAGGTGCCGTATTGACACTTAAGATGTTTGTTTTGTTGGTTTGATCAACCAGGAAGGCAGGCTAGAGAACCCTCGAAAGACAGATTCACTCCAAGTTGTCAATTTGACCACAGCTGGCACAGCAATTTGAGGAATTTTATTTTTGAAGCATATTATTACAGCCATTTTACGTGTCGCCAAAACAAGCACAAAGGCATGTCAAGACAGCCTTGCCATGGTCCAAGAGACTGATGAGTTACTGCAGCCTGAAGGAAATAACTTCTCATGTTATCATGTTGAATCTTTATCTTGGCGTAATATCAAGGTTTACTCACAGCATCGGCAATGCACAGCAGCTCGACTTTGTCTCTGCTTATGACTGTGGATTTCCTCCGCTCTCGATTCACCAAACCTAACTCCTGCAGGACCACATTCATCATTATTAGTACAGAAACATTGAATAAACCATCTGTTTGCCAATATTCTTCGCTTTGACGAGCAGCTCATCTCAAATGTTATTGTAGCGCAGGCATTTAAAAGAGCGCATCTAACGTGGTTTGCACCATATATAGAGGGTTTCCACAGTAGTCATCTTAAAGGGCAGCAGTTCTCTTTGTTCCACAGGGAAACCTCCGTTGTGCATACCCTGTGGAACAAAAGCACTGTCCTGCAAGATGGCAGCCATGAAACCGTCTATAGGTCACCTTCAAGCGACGACCTCTTATCGACCACTGGTTAGTTTTTCCTGTTCACAAAATATTTCCTGGGCACCAAGCGAAAATATTCAGTTGTTGACAAATGCTCGTTGCTCTAAATTGCCAATACATGCAATGTGAACACATTTCTTTACCATCGATGCATTGGCCTTAGCTCATTTTATCACTCAAACTATAATCGATTGCTTTCAACTTACCCCAAATGTCTCTCCTCTGTTGAGATAGACCACCGTTCGTGGGTTGTCGCTTCCTTCTTCAAGAACCCGCACAATTACTTAGAACAAAAAAGAGATGGGGAATCGGGATAAAAATAATACTTGTAGTTTAGTTGCTCTCCAGTGTCAACCTACGTAATGTATGAAAGATGAGTTCGATATCAATTTACGATGTTTCTTAAACACTTGTTGCACTATACACAAATAAAAGATCAATTTATAAACACAGATTGATACATGAACGTTATCAATTGTAATGTCAAACCACTTTGTGAAAATAAACTTCTTGACAAAATATGGGGGAAATTATTTCACGTCCGAAGTGTTGAAGAACAAAACACAGTACCCGTCGTTTAGTACCAAAATAAATACAAATTACTTATTTCAAAACACTCTTTTACACTGTCATAGTTAAAATCTATATTCAAGCCTACAGTACTATGCTAATGCAATTATAGTAGCGGGAAATGGTTCGTGACTCAAGACTTATTTGTACGGAAACAATCTTCATTATACGAAGTGACGAACATCTGCAGACAGCAAGTGGATCTTTCCTTGATTAAAGATTAGAATGTTAGTATCTGCTTTCGAGTGGTTATAAGTGCAATTACAAACTGCCAGTTGAAGTCTCGGGTTACTCATATCATGCTGTTAACATTAAGAGACTAAGTGGCTATTTAACAATGTCAGTTTGTTTATCTGGGACAAAAGGATTCAGACCTCCTTTTTCGTGTTACAAAACGATGCCGATGAAGTTGAAAAGATTACCATGCAAATTACCTTTTCTGACATAGTTAACCGCCGATTCCTGCCTTAATTGCATTAAATCTATCTTCATTACGCAGTGACAAAGATTATAAAGGTGGCAAGTGCTTCATTTTTTGATTGAAGTGTAACGAATGTTGGTTTTTGAAGAGACACAATTTTTCAAGAGGGAAGGATGTACCAGGAGATAATAAGCGGACTCGTTTTATCATTTGTGTCTTTTGAGTGGCTACAAATTCGATAATAAACTGCCCATTGGTTGTCTGTTTTATTTGTTGATAGTTGCTTAAAGTGTGCTGTAATCATTAAGTGATCATTTGACAATATCAGTTGGTTTGTCCGAAAAAAAATGGATTTAGACCAGTATTTTGTATTACAGTATAAAAGAATTACACATGACTGCCTTTGCTTCACAACAGTTAATGGCATCGATAGTTTCTAGGGTTACTTTTGAATTGTCTTATCTCAGAGAGGTAGCAATCTATTACATACCTCTTTCAATCTATTCATCACTACAAATGTAATCAAACATGTTGGTTTATGTTCAACTGTTGGTAATGATTTCACGTTTCATATCTTTATTTTCTATAGGATTTTATAAAATTGTTGAAATGTTTCCTATGAACAGGTAAGCATACTCCATGTTCATCTGATCATGACAAACGGTGAATAAATGACCTGCTTTTATTTACGACTACTGTTGTATAGATTCATAACTACCTGTTGACTCCACCTTGTTCAAGTCTTGTTCATACCTGAGCCTGTCATGATGAAATAGAAGTTAAGAGGCCTGTGTCCTTGTCTTAAGATAACCCTCTGAGCTTGGTACTTTTCATACCATCCAACCTTGACAATCTCTTGCTGCATCACAAGTGGAAACTCGGCAAAGGTTGGAAAGTTTCGCAAAGCAATCAGAGTCTGAAAAATCCATGCAATGATAGGAGCATTAACTCCAAACATGACGTCCACATGAAAGTCAGATTAATACTTCTTCATGGCCAGCCTACAACATACTACAATAAAAAAGTGTTAAGACATTCGTTGTTTGTTCCCCATTTTTTATTGTAGACGCAGGGTTCACAGAAATTCTTCACCAGCCTTAGTGAGGCCAATAGAACTAAGATTAAGACTAAACTAAAACATTAACTAAACCTTTCTATATTGGGAGCTGTGAAAGCGCGAAGGTGAACTCGTAAATAAATCAAGTCTGGAGACATCATTATAATGGTTTACTATAGCGCTTTGGAAGCGTCGATATATGTCACGATCACCAGCACTGTTGAACACATATTCTTCAAAACTAACAGAAAAATTTCTTCTTACACGATACTTGTCTTTCTCTGTCCTTTGATTAAACGGTGAACTCAAAATCTTCCTGCATTCTGCGGATATTCCGGCCTTAACAATGAATGGAAAAGTAAGACTAAATGTATAGAACACAAAGCAAGCACAATGTTTAATACAGGCCCTTTATAATAAGATCTTTTTGTTTCATCTGGGTCCTTTACTGCTATTTGATGGAGTTATATCGCCTCCTGGAAATAACTCTCTTTTGACACCTACCATCTACCTGGAGTCTTCCTCATATTCTCTAAATACATTATTTTTGCATGTAAAATTTCATTTCATACTCCCCTGATACAACCAAATAAATGTTGTTCTATTATAAAGACGATTTTTTTTTCGTCAGGACATTTTACCTGTTTGTGTGCCTTGAAGTACCTAACATCAAACATCAATTCTTCCTCTTCTCCATCCTTGAAGTATTTGCCTCGATGAGAATGACCACTGTCGTCCACACTTCCAAGAAAAAGTCAAAACGACGAAAAATGATGAATAATTTCCGTGAACACAATGATCTTAACAAACGCTTCAACGGCAACAACGCCGGAAAACCCTGAATCTTGTCCATACTACTCACCTGGATAGCAAGTTTTGAAACTGCCTGTCTTTTACAAAATCTTGACAGACCCAGAACCGAATTTATAATCTTAAAATTGTGATGCGAAAAATTTGGACACTTTGGAATGATGTTTCAAACCAAAGACGAAAAAACTGACCTTTGGGTGAGGTCTGTATAATGACCATTCTGTTTATTCAATTCCAGCATCGTGGTTGAACACTATTACATTTTACTAAGTATTTTCCTTGTCTCTATAAATGTCTTTCTGTCGTCTTCTGGGCTTCTTTAAGTAACTTCTAACGATGAAAATCGCTTTGACTTTAATTAACACAGTCATCATGAAGTACCTTCAAATTACATAATCACGTTAACTATTACCTCAGAAAATGATTTTTGCACAGCCTGCTTATAAAGATGATTAGACGAGAATAACTCTTGAACTTGAGGAGTAGCTTCTTCTGTAAAATCCAAGAATCAGGCAAAAATATAATAGCTGGGTGGACCAGTTTTCACGAACAAATACGCATAAGTCCAGAGACAATTTTATTTTCAGGCAAAGAAACCTTTGTTGATTTCTCAAATACGAATGATTTGGTTAAATATTACTATATTCCACAAGTTGGTTCGTGTCAAATATTTTTCAATATTTCTATTTCTTTATTATGTGTTAGCTCGTGAAAACTAAAATTTTTTTAATCACACGTTAGTGTGCGAAGTGCGCGCATATATTTTCGTGTCAGTTCGTGAAACAGCAATATTGTTCATTGAAAAGTTGCACCAAATGTATCAAACCTGGACTTGTGTGAGGGATTATTTCGTGATGTCGGTGATTTATTAGCTCAAGTTGCTAAAAAAATGCTTATGGCTAAAGTGTTTCGAATCCTACAAAAAGCAAAATGTTTGAGATTTTGGGGGATTATGACACAGTAATTTCCACAACTTCAGGTGTCCTTAAATTCTTGGCAGCCGGGTTTCTTATCTAAGACAAACAACTCGAGATTAACTACTGGGAAATGTATGTCTTTCCACCCGATAGGGATCCATGTGCGATTTGGAGTAATACCATTATCAGTTATAGAGTGTGTAGGTTTAGATCGCTTTACCATGCATGCTCAATTTTTGTTTACAGTTGTGCTAATAAAGGCTCAATCTCTGTGTGGTCTTAAATAGACCAGCTACTAAAAAAAAAGATTTTCTGTTTGAAACTTATCAAGCTTTTACACTGTAAGCTTCGAAAATTGAAAGAACAAAGTGATTAGTTGTAGGCCTAGATAAAAGGTGACCTACTCGTCGAAGTTTCCTGGCTTGCTGAAGTCGATTTCTGAATGTATTTCCAACGTTGCCAGCTGTTAGTAAGCCTCCCCTGGTTTCCAAACCTGTGTGGTGAGATTCGACCCCTTCCTGGTGTAACGGACCGCCCCTTCCACTGTAGGATGAGGCTCGTCGGCCGCTTCGCATGCCTATAGAACCTCTTGGTTCTGATTCACTTGTCCTATCTTCAAGAATGTCCGGTACTGAAGGATTTTTCCTCTTGCAAGTTCTTTTCTCTAACGGAGCCACGTCTTCTACAAAGACTTGAAGACTTCCCCTCCGTGCACGACAACGGGTTCCTTTAACGTTATTGCCCCCGAATCGAGGGTCACTTTTCCGGCGGTCGTTGAATGCTTGACGCTCTCGGTGACGGGATTTGAACCTCTCGGATACAGTGCCGTTGGAGGTCAATAAGCGCAGCGAAGCTAGCATGCTATCACGACGGGACCGTGGCTCAAATCGGTCCAGACTCATAGTAGAGTTGGTAGATGTTAAGTCCCTGTTCTGATGTTGCTGCGTAAGGGTAGAGGTGACGTCCGATATTGACAACGAAGCCATTATGCCCTACGACTAAAGATTTGACATGGCTGCCACCCATGAGTTGGACAAAATGTAATAATGATGCGTCTTTGTGGGGTTTTGTTTCTCGCGCCGTTGTGAAATGATATCCGTTTTGGTTGCCAAGTTATACACACTTTATACACAGTGTACACAAAAGTACTTCAATCTAACAACACACCAGTCAGCGGTTCCCTTGACGGATCCATCCCAGTCAACTCAGGGCTGTATAAACACAGAATGTTGTTCTGAAGATTTCTTCGCTGGCTGTCCAGCGCAATTACCCTAGGGAAGTGTTTACGTAGGTAAGGGGAGGACAATAAGAGCGACGGAATGCATCCTGGGAGTGAAGAGAAAGTGGGTGAGGGGATTGTCGAGTGACCTCAGACAACAACTACAATTTCAACCACTGTGAAACCAGAGTACCTCTCCAAAGGACGTTGGAGCTCTGGCAACAATAGTCCTAAACTAAATGACAAAGATGTTTGTACATACTGTAGTAATTATTAAAGTGTGTTCAGAAAAGCTAGGGTAGTAGGTTACATTCATCGAATCACCCAATGGTAGGGCCTACTGGTATTTTAGGGTTATGGCGAAGTCCCCCCCCCCCTCAAAAAATTGAGGGCAAACAACACTGGGAAACAATCCCTGAGATTAGGTGGCGTCCAGGACAAAAACACATCGAATTTCAAAAAGTATGTGATTGTTATGTACAACAATAAATACATGACTGGGAAATGGGAATCAAGGGGGATTTTGACAGGAAGCTTGAATCCGTTCGACTTGAAGTATGGTACATGTATATGAGTGACGCATATTTAACGCGATTGGCATAGTACAAAACATGAAATCAGTGTTTAAAAGGCACACGAATTGCAAATTTCGTCTTTCAGCAAATGTGCTGTTAATTCTAAAGGACGAAAATCACAGTTTCAAACTTGGACTTCAACTTGGAGTTTGAGTTTTCTGGAATGATTTTAAAATGTCAGATCGCTCCATAAGTTCCATACAGTATGCAAAATTTGTCTCAAAAATCGATGTTATTTCTTATAGACACCTGAATTCAATTCAACTATTTATCCCAACGGGGAAATTTCATGTGACCTTTGAACAAGTTATGTACTACAGACGTCAGGGAGAAAGTGTCTGTCCCGTAATCAAGTTTATCCTGACCTGTCGTCTTTGTTGAATTCTTCAGTGACAATAGGTCTTTTTCTTTGACAATGAATTTTACGGTGCATTTTATTGTGGAGCGCATCCATCGCTTCCAGACGCTGCAAATGCAATTACACGTACCGTGTAAAAGCCTGTATAACAATCTCTTAAATGTTTGAATGCCAGTAAAAACTGTTTTATAAATGCTTTCCTCAGCCAAAACTGGGCATCTTCACAAATTATATAAAATTGTCTTTACACTCGTAGACCTACAATATTGCCAGGATGCCATGTAATCGAGATGTAATTTAGTTTAAGGAACCGATTTTTTTTAATGGTGGCTGAAGTTTGTTAGATACATTAATGTCAAGCTTTAAAAAACTGCTTTCGGATTGCATGAATTATATATAATGCTTCGTGAACTATGGCAACCCCCCTTTTAAAAAAATGGAGAGCTGTGAAATAGACACAGTTTTAAAACCTTCGTATGGTTTCCAGAGGCCAAGAAAAAAATCTTGCTTCAAATTGTTATTTTGAGCCACCGTGGATTTTACATGCACGTCTTGTGCAAATCAGGAAATCAGGAAATTAAATTTATGGTCTTCAGTTTGTCACAGCTTACAAAATTCCCCTCTTGTGCATGCCGTTCACATCTTTAGTTTATGCAACATTCTCAGCAAACATGATATTATAACTGTTTTAAAATCCATTCATACTGTTGCAAAGTCAACCCCTTCCCCACAATTCAGCTGGTTTTCTGCCAGCATCTGCCCGTAAGCTTGGATTCATCCGAGCACCAGTCACTTTACATGATTTGTGAGTTAAGAAGTCAAGTTGTGACCGAACAAGGTGCGTTTCCACTAAGCAGCGTCACGCGGCATGCAGTGCACTGTGCAAATTCCCTGCGGAAAGACGTCTTAATATAAATATACCCATCTGCACGGGTACAGCGTTTTCAGCATGGCTGGTCGAAATGTAGCTGAGATTACTGTGTTTCTCATTGCATTGCTCTCGTGCGGATTTACACGTAAGTAAGAAGTGGTTTCTGTACCTCTAGAGGACCATCAGTAAAATTTCTTCAACTGTACCGTCAGTTACTTTCTCTGCAATATGCCGCCAAGCCCTGCCCTAGGTCTTATTTTGATGTTTACACAAGGAACCATTCCATGTGCACGTCTCAAGACTCAGTCGCATACATGGATATGATGTCAAGTAGTTGTAAATGCAAAAGTAGTATGAATGTACTCATAAATTTTCGTATGTAGAATGATTATTGCCTGTTTTTATGTGAACGTGAGCCAGGAAACAATTATAGCCTAGTTAGGCCTACTAGTCATTATAGCAACGGCTACTCGGTACAGACAACTTAGGACTGTTGAGTGCATGCCAATACTGTTCCGTGAAACGTGAACACCGCGTAAGACATGTAGAGCAGAACTCAAGTCTTCTGCTGCAAAAACTAAGCTGCATGAACTGTACTGCGAATAATAAAGTGATAAATCCCACCTCGGCAATCCAAAGTGATCGACACGTGAACCATTTTCAGCTGTAGCTCTTTCTGTTGTTTTAAGTGATGTGAAGAGATCCATTTTTCATGGTACAAAAACAATTAATTACAGCCTATTTTTGTTACAACGTGTGGAGCTCCCGTAGCGTATCACAAATGCATGGTTGCCTATTTTTTTATCGTTTAACATGAAAAACCGTTTGACATTGAAAAGCCAGGCTTACATCGGATTAATAACAAGGCATGGTCGTGGTACAGTGCTCTAAGTGGGGGAGTAAATCTGCTAGCATTTTGATAAGGTTACGCAAGAACATTCAGCTTTAATTTCGAACTGGTCAAGTCTGATTCCATGGAATTTACTGAAGATAGTGGGACAGTAGTCGGCAGTTTCCCGACTTATCGCATTTAAGCCGTGTCTACACACTTACTATTCCTCTGTAAATACCATATGAAACAAAACGAATTACTAAATATGGAGGGCCTGACGTTTCGATCCTAGCAAAATCTTTCTCAAAGGCAAAAGGGGTTAAAATTGTCTGTCAGTATTGAACATTCTCCTACCCTTTTTTCCAAATAGAATGAAACTTATTTTATTGGGAAATAAACGAGCGGTATTGGTTCAATGGAATGTAAAATGAAGCAGAATAAATGGCCAGAACCATGTTAATTTCTAGTTGGATAAAAAGTGGGTATATCCATATACAATTATTCATTCACAGTCGCGAGAGATATTATATTCTTATGGATAAAAATTACGTGGTTTTTAAATGTCACATTTGATTTCAGTTTACACGCAAATAGTGATTTTTTTGATTAGCGTGAATTCCCGCAGCTTGTTTTTATGAGTTCAACTCGTCACCTCTGACAAGCTTACATGTTCTCGCCAGATTAGTTGTCACATTTCTGTCTGTTTGTTGGGTGATTACATTTTTGCGTCTTTTATCACTGGTTTCCTACTGTATACATCCAACGCGAACTCTAACCTCAAGTCGGTGAAGAGAGTAAAGACGGTGAAATTTAAAGGTGAGTAGGTTGACGCACGTGGGGCCGTTTGATCGTGCCTAACCTACCCGATTTTGATTTTCCTATTGAAACAATACGCACGAGCTATGATATATAACGGTCGCAATACCGAGATAACCTTGTGTATGTTCATTTTCTGCCAGAGTAGCTCTGGTATGGGTAATTTGAATCCACTGTTTCATTACTCCTCTATGACAATCACCTGGAGGTATTTTGATCACAGGCCAAACGCCGTTAATAGATTTTAGCGAGTCTGCGGTTGGTGACTGATGTAAGGTGTGCTGACATCTTTACGCCAATTTTACTGCAAGCTATTTGCTTTAGGGGACTTGGCGATGACAGCTCACCTCGAATTCCAATTTACTCCCTGATAGACATATTCAGGTGAAAACTTTAAACGTTTTGCCGAGTCCCATTACTGTCCGCAGTTTATTTGTTTAGGCTACTCTGTGACTGTTGCAAAAAGATATGCAATGACTTCTGGCATGAATGTGGTCCAAGTTTGGTAGGAGGGGCATTTGATAAACTTCATTTTTTGGGTGTGGCGTTCTCTGGCTTTCGTACGGTTGCATTTTCACTTCAACAGTCCCCTCCACATTCTACGAGGGGAGGCGGGTTCGAGGACTTTGGGTGGAGGTGTGCTTCATGCCCCTTTGTTTATAAACATGACACTCCTTTGAAGGATTAAAAGTCGGGTTGCGGGCTTTGGGCGGGGGTGTGCTCCATGCCCTCTTTGTTTATATACACGTACATGGCAATGCCGTGTAGGCTGTATCACCGTATTAGAACTCCATTCTCGCCGAGCTACAGAATGCAAAATTTGAGTGTCATAAAAAGTGAGTGTGTTCTCGCGAATGCACGAAATTTAAAAACGTACGCTTGACGATGTTTCCTAGTTATACGAGTTTTATGAGGTTTACAGACTGATCATTGACAGTAATAGTCTACAGCCTTCCAATGAAACGGGTGAAGTCCAAACTTGTGTCCTTGCATGAATGAAGTTAATTTTGTTCGTCAGTTGTCTCAACCAACATTAGTCAGCTGGTTTGCAGTCCAAACATCGCCGATTTCGTGAAGGTTGAAGTGACACAATTTTTGGGGCGAGCTTGTTATCATCACACACCTGTCACTTTGACTCACCCAGCAACAGTATATGCCGGCCCTCGAATAAAATTAGTCATAATTGAAGCATAGGTCTGTGCTCTGTGATAAAGTCTGCACAGTTTCAGAATTCCACAAAATGTCTGTTGACAGTACCGATGACTAACGAATGTAGAAAGTTCTTATTAGACCTTTTGTAAGTTCAAGGTTATCTATGTTAGCTGTTTCCTACATGTACTTAAAGGAAAAGTGCACGTGAGAGGTGTTTGTTGACTCTCAGCAGGAGTTTTCTATGTTTTATTCATCTTCACAAAATATTCAAAATGTTTCCACGAAAGAAGATACGTCTGAAAGACATTCAGAATTGTGTCTTTACTAAATGTTCTTTTCGTTAAAAAAACCAGGCCTGTTGAAGACTTTTGACAGTATGCTGAACTGCATTCAACATGTGCAACTTCCTATGTCTATTGCTAACTCATGGGGTGAACCGGGGGGGGGTGGTCATGGGGCGGTACATATCCCTCACCTTTTTGTATTCTTCGTCATTTATTACAGCCCAACAGATAGATTTTCCAAAAGGTAATGAAAACGAAAAATAAACAGTATGAAATTTTAAAAAGCACTAGGTCCTCATCAGGTCAGAGCACACGAGCGCACAAGCAAGGTAAATCTTTATAAGGAACAGCGCCCTCTTTTAATGTGATCTTTTTCACTACCTTCCTTTTCAAATTTCTACGGCTGAGCAATTTTAAGATTTTGCCATCCCCAACCTCCACTCGTTGGCATTGTTTCTAGCCGTTGCTCACTACCACATTGTTTCTTCAAAATGACGATACTGTTAAGACAAGAACCAAACCATTAAGACAGGGTGAGTTGGATGCCTGCTCTTATCAGGAAAAATAAGTGTTCATTAAATTATGAAAGACAATTTATTTTAAATAACCAAATTTTCTCCATCTGATTATAGGATGGGCAGTTGTGTGCCTATAACGAGATCGGTTGGAGGTGTGGGCTATAACCAAATTATTTTGTGGATCATGTGTATACGTTTTCAAAGGCAGCAGCGTCTGGGTGCCTCCTTTCTGAAGAAAAATCTCTTTATAGTTTCACAATAATTTGTTGAAAATGGCTCAATATTTACTTAACCCCCACCAAGCAAAAACCTCACCTTGACCAATGACTTGAGGCAAAAGTAACGATATCTGAAGAATTTCTTTTCAGGGGGCCTTAGCTGGTTTCGATTGCTGTCGTAGAAAGGTATGCCGACAAGACGAATGGGTGCTTTTATGAAATCTACTTCGTGAACGGAATTCTGTACTGTAACAAATCAGCCTTTTAAATTTTAATGAGCAGTGTTAGCCTTTTAAAACGAGATATTCGAGTTAGCATTTTACCAAAGCAATTAAATGTTTAATTATCTGTACGAGATGACCTTAAGATCTAACTCTGAAATCCTTTTGAAATAATTACTAGCTGTGCTTGTACATTTTTTGTTTTCAATGTGACGATCAGATGCCGCAGATAGACTTCCCATTTCTGCTCAGTTGACTCATATGCAGTCTCAAATTTATATACTTCGTCGGGATGTGGACCAACTGCTAGCGGAACTACATAGAACACGAGACCCGGAACCAGTTAATCCAGAAGGTAGGGAGAAGATACCACTGAGTGTGGAGTGTTTATATTGGAGGAAATAGAGATAATTACCTATGCACAGATCCTACGACACGGGCATAAAATGCCCAGACAAATGAGACCAAAGGAGTTGTTTCTCTTTGTCATTATCAGCAAGGAAGGCCGGTCGGTACTTCGATAAAAACCTGCTGTCCATAGTTGCATCCCTTATTTCGCCGACCCAAAGCCCCCTTTTCCTGAATAACTAGGGTTAAATAGGACGGTGCTGAGTGAAACGACGGGTTTTGTTCTTAACTTTAGAAAATTCTGTTTCACTTACTTATTAAAGTCTTTAAAAAATTCCTTTGGAAGAGCTTGAGTTAAAATATGAAAACACGGGAGAAAACGGGAAAGAATTCGACAATTAAAGGGGATAAATTCCAAAACTCATTTTTAACGATACTTAATATGGTAGAGGCTCGTTGTGATTGTTTGAATTCGTTACTTAAAGGTGTTAAATCAAAACGGTCAGCTCACACATTCCGACTGTGGATTCAAGATGTGCAATTTCTAATGAGATGTTGATAACATCAGGCTTTGAGACCCTGGTCTGACAAAGAGCAGAAAAGTCCATGATTGAGATTCCTCGGCTATGTAATTTTATCTCCATAGGTGATGGCAACGTGTATGCTCATTGTAGAATGGTTCCCAATGGCATCTATGACCCAGACACGTATGAGCCTATCGTTGGAGACATCAACATGAGGCAAAGGGTGCGTACTATGGCAATCATTCGGCAATGGATATAATCAGCAAGATTAATTTGAATTGTTAGAACTTCACAAAGTTGTCTTAAACTATACGAATCATTGGTCAAAAAAATCTTAACACTTGTATGATTAATATAGTCCTGTGATTACAAAATGAACTGTTATAACCATTGGGAATCATTGTTTCGAAGTTAGTTAAGTTTTGAGTTAGCATTGATTATTTTAAGGTTTAAATGCCACTCATTTACAAGGCAAAATAGGTGCACCATTAATTTTCGTAAGCTGACTGAACCGAACTTTCAGATACAAGTCACTTTAATGCTCCAGGCAAACTAGTTAGTACCGTCGGAAACGTCTTACTCTTGGGGGTCGCTGCTATTCCTGGCATATACGTGAACTGTTTGACCGACGAAGTTTGCTCTGTGCACTTCCTCCAATTTGTCACATCCCGACGCCTGTACAGAGGAGGGCCCTTGCATCAAAATATTTGTCTAACAAGAAGTTGGCCAGGTTTCAACCCATGAGGGCGCGTCTGAAAATATTGCGGCAGGAACCAGTAGTAATGCAGAGGTGTACATGTACATTCGTGACCTGTAAAACGCGTCGCAAAAATAAGCTATGGTTCATTGATTCTCAATTTTTGTGTGTTGCATTATCAACTGCACGTATACAGTGCAAGCCAATAATAATTCTGTTCAGTTAAAAACCACATTTCCTAGTTCAAAAGTTCGCAATCCATGGTCCTATATTCCAGAGTATCAGCTATGAGACCGAACTTCACGCTACAATCTCGCATTAAACAGGCAACATTGGTAAAGCTTCCATTTTATTCCACCTAATGTAATCAAACACTGAAAAAATATCAATGACCAGAGACCGATGCACTCATGACAAAACTAACTTACTTGTGACTCATTTATCAAACCTTAAAATTTCAAAAAATCTTGAATACCGCGGATGATTCTAAATAGTGCGTATCGTTTACCAATCAAAGAACGTGAAATCTGTCGACCCTTTCCAAACACACATGGGGGTCGACAGATTTCGCGCAGTGTGATTGGTCAACGTGTTGCAAACTCTTGGTGGCGCACTTTTGTGGATCACCCGTATTATATTGTTTTCGGAAAACAAATTTTCAGCTTTCTTGTTTTAACATGACAAACCACAGTTTTTGGTTCTCGTTTGATCGACACATTGACTCATTTGGCCCATTTTGTTAAATTACTATACGAACTTTGAGTTTGTAAAAATAATACATTAAAGCTGAATTCCAAGATTGCCATCAACAACTTGGGTAAAATTAACTCAGAACAGATCCTTGAGCAATGTAAAAAGTATTAAAGGCCTCATTATTATCATAATCTGAGGTTATCACTCACGATTTTCGGTTCAATATCCAGGCAGTTGGCGGTCAGATGGACGTCAAGGTCTTCCTATACGGGTTTATGACTCCTAAAAGCGTGCATGGCATACATGTTCATACCTACGGCGACTTGGGAAACGGTTGTGGGTCAGCTGGCGGTCATTATAACCCGGGTGGAAACAATCACAGCGCCCCCTACGACAAAGATAGGTATGTTTGCACTCAACTGAAGGCAAGTTCTAGAACGGAAACATTGTAGAAGGGTTTTTCTGCCATTTCGGGGTATTTTAACATGTTGGCGGTATTTTTGTGCGGCATTGCGAAGGAATTACCCACTGGATATGTTTATGTTTATTCAAGATCATGGAAAATCCTAAAAATGGCTGATGGATAAGAATGACTGATAGTGGATGTCGAAAATGCGTTTACTCAAAATGTTACGGTATGGCTATGGAGCGTCAAAAGTGCACAACCCCATTTTCTGCTGATAGATTTTCTGGATTTTAGACTTTTCGTAAAGCTTTTTCCAAAAACACAATTTTCCGCTAGCAAAAAATTGGATTTTACTTTAACAAGTCTTGTGGCGAGTGGACAACCAAAAACTTCAAATTCAAACTGGCAAAATTACTGTCATACTCCAAAAGTGGACAATTCCATTTTCTCATTTTCTGCCAGTAGATTTTTGGGTTTTTTTAAAGTTGCACCATACTTTTTCAAAAATCCCATTTTTTTACTGGCAGAAATTTGAATTTTACTCAGACGACGGCGAGGTGGTCCAAAAGTGGACAAGTTGAAAATTGAAAGGACACTTTTCTCCCTACGTTGAAATATAACAGTCTTAAGAAGATTGGCATCACCCGACCCAGGAAAAAAAATAATGTAATGTGGACGAAAGTTTGGAAGCGGCTGCCTGGGAAGTGGAAGAGTGACAGTCCTTCGTAGTACAGCAACTTGTAGAGCCAGTCCTATTGCATTAACCAACCGGTCGTTGACGGGCATCAGGCGTCATTTGGACACTCCCTTGTTATTGGCCTTTATCATGCAACTTGTATTTCCATCTCTGTATAGCCGATTTTGTGAAAAAGATTGGGCCCTTTTTTAAGATATTCAGATATAAGATTTGTTATACAATCCACCACCCATGTATTTCACAGTTCATGCATCCGACGACTGCTCTGGGCCGTCACTTGCAAGTTTGTGTTTTCATTGCGTTAATATGTCACATTGACACTTTGAATCATTTGTATTAATAGTATGACCCAGGCCTCCACTATATAACCACCCACTTGTATTTGATGACTTGAACAAAGATTTGAATGATAAATATTAAATTAAATCTTTGATGTCATATCAGTGACCGACTGGTGCACTGACTGAAAGATTTATTGGCTGAATACGTGCTTTGGAATTTGTGGGGTGTCAAAATTAATTCAGCAAGTTCACGTTGCATTTTAATGTTTATCATTTTACTTTCTCTATTTTCCCCTTTTTGAACCTCTTGGTTAACTTGATTAAACAGCACTTAGCTTCTTCTCTTGACATGACATTTTTTCAATTCAGACCTTTTTTCGGTCCACAACAAATTCAATTATACAACTGGACAGGACATGGACACGGTGGTTTATTACAGCTAGCATCTTTTAGGGGCATATCACCATGCGCTCAGTTATTAAAAATGTAATTGTTCGACGGAAAGCCGCCACTGTCATTCTAATTACACGGTGCACTGGGAAGCCGTAGCGTTAACATAGAGCCTAAAAGTAAAAGGTCACGCAGCGACCTTCCGGAACCCTTGCGCGATCTAATCTTTGGAAAAATAATTCCTTACTGGAACCACCCCCATGAAACACTCATGTTAGAATTTTACCTTTGTCTTCCTCAAGTAATATTTTGAAAGAGTCACCTGGAGATGGGTAAAAACGAATTGAATAACGACCTTTCACGTCCAGCGATGTCGTATCTAGGTCACCGTTGCATGAACAACATGCACGTTTGTTTTCACTCGCCGTGCTGTCTTGAAAACGAGATTGCACAACCTTGCAAAGATTTTACCTACCTGCAGTCGATGTGTTCCAGATTCTGTTGTGCTGACATCATGCAGTTGTTGTCAGCAAAGGTTAGATAAAATATTAGAATCTTTCGTGAAAGTAGAATATTGCTTTATGTTTATTACCTTATAAATTATCAAAATGTGTAAAATATTTTAATCTGTTTTTATTTTGGTTTTCACCCACAGACTAATATTCATTTGCAAACGAGACTGTCGTATTGCGCTGTTCTTCATGTATTTTAGATTTTCGGAAGTGATGGGTCAATTTTTGGCAGGCTATTTCTCTTTTAGGTCAAGTAATTTTTCAGTTTCTATAAATTATATCAACAAATATTTTTCGATTTTTAAAGAAGAAACTGAACAAAATATATTACAAATTCTAAAGTTCTGCACGTTATTTTTCCTATCTAAGGGTTCAGGAAGCGCGCCATCAGGCTCTATTGGCTGCCCATCTTCCCAAGACCGTTCCATTCTGAGCGTAGGAAGCACTGCGGTCGTTTCAGTTTTCCACTTTTGGACCACCTCGCCGTCATCAAAGTAAAATCCAATTTCTGCCAGCAGAAAGTTGGGTTTTTATGAAAAGGGACGGTACAACTTCAAAAAACCTTAAAATCTACTGACAGAAAATGAGAAAATGGGGTTGTCCTCTTTTGGACCATCAAATAAAGTTTGCTAGTGGAAATCTGAAATTTTAGTTTTCCTTTTTAGACGCGCCACGAGTTGTTAAAGTAAAAGCCTTTTTTTTTGCTAGCTAAAAATTGCGTTTTTTGAAAATGCTTTACGCAAAGTCCAAAATCCCCAAAATCTTCTTGCCTTAAATGAGAAAATAGGGTTGTCCGGTTTTGACGCTCCATATTTGGCAGCTAATGAAGATAACAATGAATGATAATGGTGATGGATGACAGTGCATTAAGAGCAAACGGAGGTGATGAGGTGACAGTAGTGGTGATAGGTGAGAGTGTTGACCAGTGGCGTAAATCTGTGCCGGAAATTGGGGGGGGGGGATTGGGAAAGGTGGGTGGGGGATGACTTACCCAGCCATGAAACTTTGAAAATTGGGGGAGGGGATTACTATGTAAAGGTAAATGTTCATGATATTGATGAAAATCTGTCATGTATTTAGAAGGGCATAATCATTTATGGCGTTTTAAACTGTTTTCTTTTTTTGAGTGATATTGAACGCATTTTGGTCGATGGAGGTCTAAAAAATTCTTCACAATGCGCTTTCTTTTTTGCTCACATACAAAAAAGTGTGTGTCTCTGGGAGATGATTCAATAGCTTATCCCCTACCTCAGAAAGTGGGGGATATATACCCCCCCCCTTGACGCCCATGGTGGTGAAAAAGTGGCAATATTCCAGTGAAATATGAGATGCATTCTTCGAGACAAGACGGGTGAACGTTAGTGCATGAGACTACATGATAACCAATACATAATTTACGTACACCCTTTAGGTATCTTCATATATTCTGCCTAGGCACATGGGTGACTGGGGTAATATCCAGGTGGATGACTTCGGCATGGTTGAACATACTTTTTCTGACAAGGTAGCGACTCTCGTCGGGCCTAACTCTATTCTTGGACGAACAATTGTGGTGAGCACAAAGAAGACATAAATAGACATTATAAAAGTACATCTTCATGTACATGTATAACTTTCACTGTGAAACTGTGGCTGGTTGGATTGATTGTGTATGTAATTTCCATGGAACCCTTGTTAGGATCTCTTTCTAAGAGGGAAACGATAGTTTACAATGACGTCATATATTCTTCCCACTAAGTCTTCCTTCCCACATATACCATGTCAGGCCAAGTCCAATAAAGGCGGTATTTCATGACTGTGCAAAGGATGCCCAATGAAACTTAGTGAAAGCCGTAGCCAGAAACCTTCGTCAGCAATTTAAAAAATATACTCAGCCACTGTGGAGATGGCCCGACAGCAAAGATGATGAACGACAAGGGCTATAGGTGATAAGGGACTTTTCTCGTATCAAGAATTTTCAAGTAAATCTTTGTTAAATTTCTTCAGTGTGAAAGCACAGCTGCACAGCTTGAATGCGTTGATGAATGCCAAAGTGTTGAATGCGCATCATATTCTTGTAATTATTTTAGATCCACATTGGGGAGGATGACCTGGGTAAAGGAGGCACGGCAGATAGTAAGACGACTGGCAACGCTGGAGGGCGCCTCGGGTGTTGTGTTATCGGTCATTCGGACGGATCAGCGTGGGCAAATTTCTAAAAAACAGCGGCAAATTATCACCAACTGTAGAATGAGCATTTCCTTTCTTTTCATTTCTTTTTTTCAGGTTTTATTCGGAAGGCCACGCTTTTGCAATTCAGTTTAAACTTATTGTTTGGAAAAGTCATCTTTACATCCACAGTTTAACTTTAGAACTTTAAAAAAACTTACCTTGAAAACTATGATTTCAATAGATGCATTCACTTGTGGTTATTACTTAAGACGAATATTAGGTTTGAAGTACGTTGATAGGCAACTAACTTTGTGATAAGCTGATTTTTTGTCCTTTCAGAAAACACTTCTTACGTCTCTCCAAAAGAAAATAAATTACGTCAGAAGGAAGGTTTTCGGGCGTATTTCTGTCTGTGGCTTTTCGGCCACACGCTCAAAGTCATAAATACCCCTACTTAAAAATATTAGGACATAGAAAGAAACCTCGCCAACGATCGCGCCAGACATTAAATTGTAGCTTGAATTGTTCTTTTGTCACCTCTTGTTTATTAATTTTTTTGGGGAGGGGGATGTGATGGCTTTCGCTGATGTAAACATTTTCTGCAAAGTATTTTCACCCCTGCAACCAGGCCTGTATGAAGAAACCGATCGTCATTTTTAAAAAGGAGATACGTGTATATACCTCCACTCCACTGCAAAAAGAAGTAATCTAAGCTCTGATTGTTCCCGGTTATTACAGAAAAGAAAGCTCGTGTAGCTGCCCAAGGCTGGGACTCTTCATGTCGCAAACCTGCATCAAGTGCACCTACAGCGAAACCCGTCACGAAGAGCGAAACTAATGGCACGTATATCGTCATTTGGTCGATGTAAGCTTTCTTGGACCAATTTACAGCATTGCATCATCCATTCCGCATATCTTGCGTTACGAGATATTATTGTTATAATTCCTATATTTATTTTTCCATTTACACTTAACACGTTTGCAAAACTTCATGGACCCTCTTATAACTTCCTAGACAGTATGAACTTGTCGATGTTGTCTCAGTGCATGTCCTATATTCATAATACAACAGGCTTAAACAAAATAATGTAAACACATTATACTTTGCCAAAAACACAATGACGTATTGTAGTTATAAGTTTAATAATACAAAGCGAGCGTTGTGCTCGTCTACTCATGCTCAGTTAAGTAGTAACATTAACATTGTTTCGATTTATGTTCGATGTTTGAGAATGCACTGTTTCATGTACATGTAGTACCGCAGTGCGTAACAGCGGCATCAAAATATTGACAGGACAATATCATTCTTTTATAGTGTAGAAGGCTAACAGAGCGAATGTAAAATATATTTTTTCTTTTATGTTGAACTTTTCAAGTAACCGTTGCGTGTTCACATTTATGAGCATGTCAAAACATTCTGCATAATTATTAAAATAAAGAGCGTTAATTGCTTAGTACTTACAGACTACTTTCAAATGCCCAAAGTACGCCTACGTTCGTTACAAAACATCATTATGGTTATGGATATTTGACGCGTTATTTTCAGTGAAGGGCGTGTGAATGCATTTTTGTATACACTTTGGCTTGTTTCTTGACTGCCATTCACTGCAGAGATATCAACTGAACACATAAGAAGCTAAGTATCAAACTTAACTGTTTTGTTCGTTCTCCATCAAAGTTAATTTGCATATTTCATCTTGTTTAAATTGAGTTCTCTTTAAATATTGAGAATAGAATTGTGCAATCAAAACATTCTTTTAACCTAATTGGAACATTTTCCGCAAACCTCCATACGTTTGTGGTTTCTTCAAACCCCAGACCGATGTTGTCAAACAGCGCCCTCGAACTAACACACGCACAAATCGCTGACTACCAATAAACTCTCCAAACATGCGAGATGTAAACGCGAGTAAATTCTGGCAAAACCTTCGTGTTAACTCTTTCATCTTACAACCTTGGCACCTTACTTTAATTTCACTTTAATATGCTCCTTCCTCGTGTTAATAACAATCACACCCAGTAAAGGTTATACTGTCTCTAGACAAGGCTTAAAGTAGCACAGCAGCTATGGAAAATGGTAGTTATTTCCAGCCGAGCAAAGGTAAAAAAAAAGTACAAAGACCTTCAGCCGACCGAAAGATAACAGTTTTTTCCAAATGTAAACGCAAGCTCATGAAGTCTACGCCGTTATAGTATAAATGCTGCATAAATTGTGGAAGATACTGTCACTCTTGAACCCTTTCAGTAAATAACATACTTGGTTGGTTAATAATGTCCAACTAAAGTCCCCAAAAGAAAATTATTATATTGGGCTGCACTATGTACACATTTCTACAATTGGGCTGCATATGTACAAATTTTCAAAAGTGCCGAGGCTTAGCCTATCTCAAAGACAAAGATCAAAAATTTGGAACAGACTTTAAAGGCACGTACGTGGTGGCTTCAGATGCTGCGACAATTTAACTCACTCATGCAGAGGTTACTAATTTATTACATAGTTCATAGCTCGGTTTACCCCTTATTATATACTCGCACTTTGTAAGGCCTTCTTCGTCATACACGTCTCTCTCACCCCAGCCTCTCCAATTGGCGACAAAGCGTCTCATTTACTTCGTGCAAGACGTTTCTTCAAGCGCATTTCTCTGAATGTACAGCCATTCTGCAAGTAACGTCTTCAAAAAATGAGGTTTTAAGCATACATTAAAAAGCGGATTTTGGAATTAAATCACCAAGACAGATCATTAAGACTGTCTCGCCTCCTCTATATCACCACCATCCATGGCTGAATCCAGCATAGTTATGCCACTTGCGTCAAAGATCCAAGGAGCTTGCGTGAACTCTTCCTGGGACAAAACTTTGTTTCCTATATCATTGAGAAATAAAGGAGAAAACTAAGTGTTACTGATATGTAGTCACGTGACTTGACGCCTGAAAAGGGTGACACTAATGACAGGATTGAGGAGTCATTTGAAAAACCCTAACAGTCCTGAATCCTCCAATTTTAATATGATTTTGCATACACCCAGGGAGTTAGGGTTAATATCAAGTTGCTGAAACAGATTACGCAAATGTACTGGACTCAGTAAAACCGTTGTATTCGTTTTAACGCAATCTTCGAATATCAGAATATCAAAACCTTAATAAAAGAACAGCAAACCATCAACAAAAGAACAACAAACTTTTACAACAAACCGTCAACAAAAGAACAGCAAACCATGAACAAAAAACAAGAAGCCATCAACAGAATAACAGCAAACTTTCACCAAAAGAACAACAAACCATTAACAAAAGAACAGCAAACCATTAACAAAAGAACCACAAACCATCAACAATCATTTTGGCTTTTATTGGCAATTTTATACAGCCCCCCAGACAGAGATACACCTACATCAACTGTATCATGTGTGCTACATCATGACTTTTTAATACGCAATTATATAAATACTGTCCACCAACTGAAAAAAACAAGGTGAACATTGGAAAATCTACCGACAGTGACAGCAACAAATTTTCTGCCCAACAGGCATGCATGACCAAGCTATCCTGCTTTTTACTCTGGCGGAAGATTAGGGCTTGGGTCTACTTCAACTCTCACATGTCTAGTCTAATCTGGATCACATTCTCTGATTGCTCTTCTCTTGTGTCCGCCTTCAACCCGTCATATGTTTGCCAGTCTGGACACAGCTTACAGTCTTCTGGTTTGCTGCCATCAGATAGTCACGGCAGCATTGTTCCCAGAGGATAGGGTATCTAAGAAAGTGTTGCATAGTATTGGGGTACCCCCCTTACCTGTCCAATCCCCATACACACTCAAGACTATTATTACCTGACACATCCCCCTAGAAGTCTGTAAAGAATTCCTGAGATTCTGATCAAACAATGACCAACACAAAGGCGGGGGGGTTCTCTCCGTCCCATATCTAGCTTCAAATGGATTGGGGTGATGTGCCACACTTACAGTTAATATTCTCATCATCGGTGTACCCCCATCTTTTCACTCTTTGCTTTATTACGGAATATAAGACAGAAAGAAAAGAACAGGCCCACAAAACGAAGGTCTAAATGGAAAATGTAGGACATAAGGAAATTTCTTGCAGTATTTAAAGGAAATAGAAAATGTGAAGAGAAGAAAGACTGATGTTTTGACGAACTCACAAGAACACCATTTGAAAACCGACCAACGTGCACTCTCGATAAGACCATCACGTACATGTACGTCTACTGGGCCAAACGTGATGCTTCCATAAATGGAGATTAACGGAAATCTGCAGCGGATGGACCACACCTTTATCAGCTCCCACTGCGCACAAAACTCACTTCTAACTTCCAAACTCCTCCGAGAATTGATGAGCATTAAATCGAACCTCTTCGCATCTTAATACCTACAGCAAATAAGACACATTTAAGTGGTCCGCTAAGTGCAACCAAGGAGTAATTAAAAGACTACTGTGAGACCGCCTGGGTTGTATTGTTCGAGAAGGGACCACACAGGTTGAGTTGCCGATCCAAGCAAAGCCGATTAGGCGGTATCGAGAGGCAGGCAGACATCCATTATGATGGAATCATCTCCCCTTTCATAATGGATCGGTCTTTCTGGACAAGTTACGGTTTCACTCTGATTAACTAACAGTGTAGACGCAATTCAATTGTATTTGGAACCAGACTTTCCTCTACAACATCCGTCAATGCCATCCGCATAAAAAACCACTCCGAAAATGGATCGCAAGCCCTTATTTATGTCCCACTTTCATCGGCCATAAATCGGAGAAAAAACTCACAGCCTTGGAAGGTGAACTGTCAGAAACTGTGTTTAAAAGGATTAAATTAAGACTGTTGAGATCAACTCCACGACAAGTGACCGAGATATAAACAACAAAACAGAGACCGTTTAGAAAAACAAATACATGCCATGACCTATATGCACTTAGCATTTGGCACACACGTCGTGGAATTCACCAGTCGTCTTCCAAGCGATGACAAACATGACCAACATTGCCAAGTATGCATACCAGTCGCTGTCTCCTGCGAATATTCTAGAAAGATCCGAGAGGTAAATTAACACCAGACCAATGAATCTATACCACGATGCAGTTTGTATCAGTGTTAAACATCTATTATAAAATAGAGCCATTCTGTTAAATCAGCTGAATGTGACTCCACTTACGTCACTTAATTTCTGCAATTTCTATCATTTTTGTTCCCAGGGCCATAACTAAAGTACGTGTAATACCTATATATTTTTAATATTATGGCTTTTTAAATTGTTCTCCTTTTTGAGTAATACTAAATGCATTTTAGTCCTTGGAAGTCTGAAAACTACTTCACCAACCACTTTAATTTTTTTTTGCTCACCACAAAAAGTGGGGAGGGGATGATTAGCCCTTTCCCCAAAAAGTATGTGTGTGTGGGGGGGGGATTTATACTCCATTTCCCCGGATTTACGCCCATGAATTTCCTTCAGAATTAGGGGTCGGGTTTTTGGGGACAATAATGCAACATAAGCTAAACTGGTTAAACTATATTGAATGGCAAGTTGATTTTGAGGAATAAGCATCGACGACAAATAATACATTGAAGGGATATTTCTAAGCCACACACTGTAGCAAAATGCCCTTATCCAGTGCATGCAGTGGCGTAAATCTGTGTTGGAAATTGGGGGGGTGGGGAAAGGTGGGGGGATGACTTGCCCGGCCATGGAAATTTGAAGGGGGGACCATATACACTCTATAGAGGGCGATGTTCATGATAAAGATGTACATCGGTGTTGTATATCAAATTCATGTAGAATCTTACATCAGAATGACATATTTATGGCTTTTTAAAATTGCCTTCCTCTTTTTAGTGACATTGCAAACATTTCAGTCTTTAAATTCTTCACAATAAGCATTAATTTTTTTGCTCATGAAAAAACGTGTGCGTGTGTGGGGGAGGGATGATTCGATAGCCCATCCCCAGCCCAAAGAGTGGAGGATGTATAACCAATCCCCCCGGGATTAACGCCCATGCCCTCATCGTTGGGAATGTGTACATGAAACACAATCTAGTGGCTTAATCAAAACTTTAAATCAATGCGGAAACTTGTTAGAAGGTCGGGAAGGGTTAGGGCGATACTCATAATTCTATTTAGAACATTTGCAAGTGACCTTCTAGCTGACTAAACTAGAAATAAGAGTGACATTTCCTGCTTGAAAAGGAGGTTTCTACTGGAACCGTGAGCAGTCAAGGAGCCATTGCTGTTTATTAGATTGAGACTGGAAATGTTTTAGTTCGCATTGGGTCGTGGGAAAGGACTTAAACTGGGACTTGAAATCAACCTTTGGCTCCGATCGTTCAAATACAATGCCTTGAGTGGGTCCTCTTGAAAGCTTTTTGGCACTCTTCGTGTTTCTATAAATTTCAAGTATTCAAGAACCCATTATTTCTTATCAGACCTTAGAAATGCAGTTTATAAACTATTAGAAATCATTTCCAGTAAATGACGTCAGTTGATTGGCACAAATCACTTAATCGCTTTCTCGAGTGACATCTTCAAGTGTTTGTCAGAAGAAATGCATTATCGGATTATGGTGTACATGTAGTACCACAATGCAGGTTTGCAACGCGTGCAATTCGTGGGAATAAACCTTCCCTTAACTCTAATCGTGAAGAAATAACGTAAATTGAATTAAATTTAGTTTGCAAAAGCTCTTTAAAATTTCAAATAATAGACACATTAACATTTGACATCGCTTGTTTGTGATTGGGGGAGGTTTTTTTTCTTTCTTTTCTTGTGGATTTTAAACAAGAGAGAATCGACCTCGTCAAAACGGTGTATTCAGTGATGATTACATCACTTTGAAGAGAGGCAGTCTCAAAATACAATTACGTTCCGGCTAATGGTTGTAATTGTTTGCTGGCAATAGATACTTCGTGGATGCCCACTGTACCTGAACAAAAGTGCGTGGTTGTGGTTGAAAAGGTAGCATGAGTCGACCTCTGACCCTGTGGTGATGTATGGGGCAGGAGGTTACACAACAATGAGGGTGACAGAAGTCAGGTGAATAAACCTTCTTGGGGTGCCATCCTTCAGGAAGACGTTGAACTCTCTATAAACACCAATAGAAGATCGACGCAATGATTTCCATATCTTCCATCTCTTGTGGTCCCATGGTTTGAATCTTAACGGACACAAATGCAGGAATGGATGATCAGCGCTTACTTTAAGGGTTGGCTTTTCCAATGAAGGAAGTACCTGGGTTTCACTCAAGCACCGAAGACTATTTCAGTTCTCATTTCCTCACATTGAAAGCTGAAACCCGTGCGAGAAAGGGATTTTAAAGGCTGGTCATGAAATTCCGGATATAATCACTTCTGGTTTTACCATAGGAGAACGTTGAACTCTGAACATATAGACATAATCAGAGATCTGTAGGCCTATAGGAAGTCTGGATGCACGCTATGTCCCCCAAAGAGCACCCACAATAGCAATAGTTTTTATCATGCTTCATGATCAACGGAAATGCTTTGCTCAACTTAGTCATTTTCCCGTTTTGCATGGCGGGCGAAGTAGATTAAGCGGGAACCTGAGCCATTTCGGATTGCCAAATATATTGTCCTTGGACTAAAGTTTGATTGTTTCCTACCGATGAAACACTGTGTTCAACAGTGGAGGAGAATTCAGCAGTTCAAGGTCGGGAAGGATACAGAAAAAGAATCCCACGGGGAAACTTATCATGTACATACACATTCCGTTTGTAAAGTTCACCTCGTGGTCCAGTTATCTCATGCTGTGTCAATGTCATGTTTTGGCAGAAGGGCTCAGAAGCTACCCTCTCCTTTTCCTACATTAGTTTTTTAAGGTCTACACTTTTACAAATAAAAAACTTGTAAAAGTACTCGATACATTATTAGATGGGAATGGAGAAACACTAGGTTGTGATAACGGTAGGCCTAAATAAAACAAGAGTAAGGAGAGGAGAAACTCAATTTGCTAACTCCAAGTTGGCTCCTCTTGAGAGATAAACGGAGGTGAGAAATTCTACATTATTTTGAAGATAACAGAGAAAGAAGTTCAATTAAGTTTAGGACAGCTTTTACCAACAGGAAAACATTTGGAATGCATTGCTTTTTGCGTCAAGTTGTGTTGAATTCTTTGGATTATGTGTTTCTTTAAAAAAACGTTTTTGAGGAGGGGTAAACTTTTCTTCGGAGAGTGTCAAACATTATAGAGTGTTCCCCTTTACATCAGATTTACTCACCATCCAAATCAGCGGCATTAAACGGTTCCTTGGCGTCTTTTAGCTCTGTCTCTGTTACGGTAGCAAGTTCCACCAGACTCACGCCTCGACTGTGATCCAAGTCGTACGCTCCAAACTGTCTTGGTAAATTCATCCCTCGGAACTTCAACCTCCACGCTGGTTTATCCCCATCATCCTCACCCCAATCCTCACCATCCTCGTCACCATCATCATCCAAGGGCTTAGTTACGGAGAGGTTGATCTGTTCGCTAGGCTTTGCTGGAGATGTTGGGCGCGGTTGTATGACCACGGGTCTCCACATGTCAAGAGGGACGCGGACTCGGAGTGCTAGCGGAGCAGGACTAGCTGGACTGGGCAGGATCAAGACAAGAATCACGGCAAGGGTGACTTGGACGAGACCGCTAGAAAATGTGCCCTCCATCGTTGGAGTTTTCAAGCTGTTCTGTATCTGTTCAATGAGAAACATAAATAGTACCCAACGTGTTGATATTTTGACGGTATGGATAATTCAAACTCAGTTGGCATTCTTTGATAAAAATTCGGGCAGGTCATTAAATCATTGTCGAAAAGGAAACTCTGCAAAATGATTTAATCGCGTCCGAACTTCTTCAATCCTTTACTGTGAAAAATAAGCTTCAACTCTGACCATTCACTGACCGACTACAAGCCCATGCATAGTCATACACACCTGAAATGAGATTTTTGATGCTATGTGACAACAGAGTTTCAGCTTGGTGAGATTGTACACACGCTTATTCGGTGAGCAAGCTGGCAGTGTAACGACCTGGGTTGAAGATGCATCTGTTTTGGTTCAGGATACCAGTTGTGTTTAAACGAGCATCAAGCTTCATTCACACATCCTTGACAAGTTAATCAGTCATGCGTACGAGTCAGTCACGTCTTCTGCAGTATGTCTTTGATACCGGGGGTACTCATGGGTCACTTTCAGGTACGCGATTGGCTGCATGCCTGGCAGTGATACCTGAGCAACAACCAATCACAAATGAGATGTATACACAAAGCGTATTTTCAGACTGATTACTTGTCCCCAAGGGATATCGTCATTTCCTCTTTGCGTTACCCATAATTCTTAACCGTGGCAGCAAAGAAAACAAATCACTTGATCAACATTACTGTCAAATCAAGTGGTCTTGACTGCATAAATTCGAGGAAGACAAGTGGAACATGCTTCGCTGGCTGAATGTTCCCATTCGAACCTACTACAACAGACTTCTCAGACTAGAGCAGTACTTCAAAAACATAATACATTACGATGGTGCTGTTCAATATTCTGTGATTATTATGGGACACTTTATAATTTACTCCCTGAAAGAAGGCTCCCTGCATTTGGTTCAGTCTGTTCGTTCTGTCGGTTCGACCTGTATTTTCAAATTTACAATGCACTCGGAGTTTCAGTTACAACAATGAAGGGGTTTGAAGACATTATACATGTATTCACAATTTAAGCATCAGTTTTTAATTGCCGGTACTTAAACGTTGTCACACAGGAATTATTATTTTTGCCCCGTTAAGGGTTTATTACCATTCTCTGGTATTGATGATACATCCTCACACGACAGTATGTTTCCGTTCCCAGTTTAGAATTGATGATACTTCGGAGCAAATACTTTGACATATCCGTATCGATAATTGCCTCTTGTCATTTCCGGAAAAGACAAGTCCTTCAGGGGTCTTGAAATGATAAACTATGTATTTTATAGGTCGAATAAAGCGGTTCCCATCATTTCCATATTTGACATCAACGTACGCGTGCATGATTTCTTTATGGGCCGGAATATTTTACACAAGATGATCATGCTAAGACAAAACACATTCTGCAGTTTCGAAGAGTTTTTGACTTCTTGCCGTGGTTCTTGACGTCTTAATTCTCATCGTGCGTTTAAAATGAGCTCCGATTTCCAGGATGAAGTTTTGCTCCTTCAATTTCTGGTTTCTTCTCAGTGACTATGTCCTCAAAGCGTGGCCTTATATACAGTTTCCTTTATACATTATTGAAAATTTCATTGCATGTATGTTAATACCTCAAGGGACATAATTATTTTGAGTCATGTCATTGTGCAATTTAACGAAATAAGCAAGAAAATTAAAAATGCTTGGTTCCTCGGATATTGAACGTCTTAAATCTCTCGAAAGCAGGAGACTTTTAAGCCTGATTGATTACAAGCACAGTTATTTTTGCAAGTGTAAGTAAAATTTGATGGAAGTATTATTATTCATCAATAGCTTTTTATCAGAACAGGAATTCTATACTCACCATTTGGTGAACATGGTTTTAAGGGATTTCGACTGGATTTATGTGACTCATGACCCAGCTTACATGCTCTACACATTATTAAGTTTCCTTCCATTTTCAATCATTCAGTTTCCTTAACTCACATTCTTTGATTCTCTCCAAAAGAACTCTCAGCATGTGGGTCAAAAGGTCACCGTCCTCAAACAATGGAAGAACGTTCAGGGTTTGATCATCACAGAGATAAGGCGCCATAGCACTGTCAAGCACTCATTACTTACAGTTGGATGTGACAGCGGGAACGTGATCTGGTGGGTGACGTGAGGAAGAGGGTACAGAAGACCGCAGTGTTTGGGCTGTTCAGATTTTTGCTGACGGCTAATTTGTCTAAGGGGACAGTCAACTCAGTGTTAGAAAATGAACTTCTGAGTCCTATAGTCGGGTGTATATAAGCTTTATGTAATGTCTCTAAAAGGAAGTTATCAAATCGTAAAACCCAACACAAGTAAAGTGCAGCTATTGGCGGGTGCTCGGGTTATAGGCCTATATGAACGAAACCCACGATGCTTGTCAACATTTTTGCAGATCTGAACATGTTCAAATGCAAGTTTGGAGTAATTCGATTAAAACAAGTTTCTCCGTACAAGCTAATGATGCTTGAAAAGAGAAACAGCTCGATTACAAAAACGCGTTGAAGTTCACTAGTCCATCAGTTTTAGCATTCATGACATTCGAAATTACAATATGTACTCTTTTAATAACGGTTTTTGTCCAAGAGCTTGCAAAAAATTCACGAGCCGACTCGCGTGGAACTCAAACCCACGACCTCTTGCTTAGGGGCCTACTAGCGTTGACGTCTTTACCACTCGACCACCGAGCTGGCCGGGGTCGACAAGATGTATTCGAATATGGGTCCCATAATGATAACCAACTGCGCCTGGCAACACTGTTGTAGCGATTCAAAAGGAACTCTTTGGCCACGCACATGCGCCGCACGGGCATTTAAATTGCAAACCCGCCATCAGGGATCAGGTCACAATAATATCACGTGCACCGTGTGGTTGATCTCTGTGGCTTATGCTGACTTGAGCACAGAGGGTGTCTGCCAGCTATGATGGATTAGAAATGATGGTTCCCTTGGGCTGACGACTGTGTTTTTATTGCTCAATAAAAATGGAGGTGTCTTAACCCTTGGGCACCATCTATGACATCAAAAGTTCATTTTCAACACCAATGTTGTTCACTGAGTAACGCATCACGCAAATACCTCCCACAGAAAGATTCTGTAAAAGAACCTGCTGTATATTCGTACTAAATCAGGAGTTTTCTCACAAGGATTACATCTTTTTAAAGAAATTACGTATAAAATTGATAATGGTCGACTCAACTCTTTTCCTTCTCAGAAACAAATCTCAAACGACAAATGCATAAGATTTTCCAACAGTGGATACTGACAACATAAACATTGACGTCATGCACGTATTATATACTTGTTTATAATGGAGGTCTGCTCAATGCAGAGGTACGGCAGACAAGATTTATATTGTTTACGATTTTCCAGACGAAAATGAAAACATTCAAGCACGGCTGTTCCCGTATAGGAACACGCGTACGGGCGATCTGTCGGCACGACACCCTGCCGGGTGACCCGCGTGTGTGATACGTGGAGTCCATGAACGCTGGCTGCGGAAGGACACGAAAAGGTCATCACTGTGACAGTGTGCAAGAAATAAAAAAATAAATTTCAGCAACTCCAAATTCATGTATGCAAAAAAAATGTTTTTATTAACTGTTTAATGAATTGCCTGTTAAGCTGAGTGGTGTGTTGTCAAGCTCGACACTTAGCCTGTGCACCCCCCTTCAGTCTGCAGGCATATCTGCATTGAAACACAATAACATCTTAGCAGACATACATTCGTAATTTGGGAGGTGTTGTACAAAGTAATGTATTTTTATTTATGATTTATCAATGATTTTTTTTATTCCCCGGAAAACTTTCCTAGGGAGTGTTCCCACCCCTCCCCAAGTCACTCACTTAAATCGATCCTGACAAACCAAACCGCAAAATCTCGATGATTTCCGTCATCTTTCAAGTTATCGTGCAAACTGAGCAATAAACCATTTGAAAATCTACGATAATTGCTTGCATGTTCCTTCCACAAAGGAAACCAACTTGGGTAAAATCAACAGCCATTATACTAACAACCGCTGTCCTGTTGTCCTTCCCGCGGAAAACCGGTTCGAGATGAGTTCCAGAGATTTGATCGACAAACACTGGTCACCTATCCGTGGTAGATGTACGCATTGTGCAAGATTGATATCATTGTTTACTATAAGAATCCCCGGTAAGTTGAATCATGACTGGTGATATTATTCAAACTAAGTTCGAATACGTTGCGCGAGTATCGCTTAAAAGTGTTGATAAACTAAAAAGTCACGTCAGCTCAAGTATACATCTTTCTTTAATGCTATAAAATGATGCTCGTCAGAGATGCAATTATCACCCCCCTTCTATATTATTCAACAACATTGAAAAGGCTCATGTTGACTACCTCTATTCTTCTACAAATCCTTTCTGTTTCTTGGTCAAATTTACTTAGGCCTATATTAACCGTAATATGATTCCTTTCAGTGATCCTGAGCGTTGGTCACTTGGAGACCATACAGTGAGCTTCGAAGTGCCAACCACAACCGTCCATGCATTCTCACAATTGGTCACGCTCCCGTAAGATTAACATTAAAGTGAGACAGTTATATGAGTCGTATTCATTGATCTTGGAGAAACATGACTCCATGACTCCATAAACCCTGTAACCTCGCTTGTTTAGGTGACGTTTTATTCTGTAGAACATCTACAAAGCATAGGAATCGTTGCACATGCACACATCGGAACACCATCAATATTGAATGATATTGAATGAATCAATCTCTCCAAGTTAATTACAAACTTCATTAATTTGACCTTGGATAAAAAGAGTTAGTACAGTGGCTTGTTTTGGTACGCCTTATGTCGCACACATCCCATTTGTGGTCGTAAGCCCCTGTAGATGGCCAAAGCAACAAGTGCCGTCAATTTCAATTCTCAAAATCTCCCTGACTGTAACCAGTTTTTTTTTTCAAAGCAGGGCGACATGGATGCAAATCATATGCAAAGACGAATAGCTCATTCGCTTACCGTATTTCCAGCGGGCCACCAGCTCCTTTCCTTGCAGAACGAAAAAAGAATCTCATTCGCTGGCGGGCGCGCAAATATTCGCCGACAGTGTGGTTCGGGCTTTGAACCTTGTAAGCGCAAGTGCGCCAGGTTGATGAGATGTGGAACTTGCTATACTACTGATGTGGCACACAAAGACAGACTAAAGACGAATGGGTACATACGGTCTCACATGATCTTATATCACAAGGCCCCTGACATGTTGTGGATCTATCTTCTTAACAGCCAGGCGGCTGTCACTGGAGTAATGCATATAATTTATTGGAGAATCGTACTTACTTGACAAGGAAAATTAGGACACCAGATGATACTGAGGGTAACATGCGCTGTCACCCAGAGCGCGATAGTGCGCACGCGCGAATTTCATGGCACGAATGCTAACCTCCAGAGTTTCAAGTGGGTCAGGGTATTCTGGCTATTTTAACTGTGTAGTACCTTACACAACGATTATTCAGTACAATCACAGATACATTGACCTCATTTGAAGTGCTATTCACAATATTGTTTCCAAAACAGAAAAAGGTGCGGAACTCCACTTCTGCCAATTACGCTGGGCATGTGGGGCATTCCTCCTTGGGTCTCAGTGTACCCACATACTATGGCATGGTGTTCTATAACCGCCAAATGTGTGTCGCGTCGTCCCGTCGCCCCGACGTCGTGGCGTCGCCTCCTTTTGTCATTACTTTTATGCTGCGTATAATGTATTACTTGGATGGATTCCTGTGCGAGAGCTCATTAATATTTTATGATCCTACGGGGTTTTACAATAAGACATGCCATAATCAGAAGGGATCATAGAAACATTTCTATAAATCCCAAATTTGGGACTGATTGTTTCCACTTCAGGGTATTTTTTTCACAAAAAGCCCCAAATTGCGACCTATTTTGGATAGAGGCGGGCGGCCATTACATTCAGAGCTGAGTGCAGAGTTTTACTACTTTTTGGGGGTATCTTGGGGGAAAGGTGAATAAAAACAGTTCACGTGGCTAACCCCCATAAAATTGAAATGATCTTCTGGCCATAATCTTGGATTTCCAGTGAAAAAACGCGGCGCTATTTTGGTCTGATTTTTCACTGTTTTCTATGGGCATGCGTATATTTGGTGTAGTGCAACCATTGATCTCCATCGCCATTGTGTGTGTACAAAATGTGCGGCAGTGGAATGGCGGCGCGCTGCGTTTCAGGAGGGTAATGTAATGCATTTAGTCAAAAGTGATTATGGAGAAAAAAAATCTAATGCAAGAGAATCATTTCTCGTCTTAACAGCCAATTTTTGTGAAATAACCCACTCGAAACTGATAATAATTAACCTGTTTTTTTCTGTTTGTTGTGTTTGTTTTGTTTTGTTTTTTCTTCATTTTCACACCTCTAGTCTACGGTCTCGCTCGGGCAATGTTGTCACTTTGGGTCATTTCAATCGTAATTTGTTGAGTGTGTAAACATTAAAGTTCCACCAAGACCCGGTACCACAATAGGTTTTACATTATAATGTGCAAACTGTCCACGTGTTTTTCCGTCTGGTGTCAATGAGTCAACACTGAAAAACTTCATCAAATAAATGAAAAAAGCTTTAATTTTAATTTTAAAGAATCACGGAAAACACTGTACTGAAATTCATTCATTATACCGAATAAATGTATTGAAAACTGATAACTGTGAGAATCTTTTCTGTGAGCCCAAAATGAGCAGAACTTTGACTGCAAGCCAAACTAATTAAGTTTGTGCCACTTTCACCACAGTAGTTATAAATCAAATAAAAAAATTTAGTTCCAAACTTGATTAAAGATTTACATTTAACAACAACTTTCTGAAAAGAAAAAGGTCAGTGTTAACTGAGAACGAATTATTTTATAATTTAGACAAAGTTTCTTTCTTTGCGTTCATTGAATTTCCTTGCTTGTTACTTTACTCGACGAAAACGTCAGCTCTCTGGCTGTCGCTCTAGTTTCATCTCTGCCCTGAAGATGAATATTCCGTCACTCATATCACACTGTCTGTCACACGATTTGGGTTCAGTGCGTCTGCAGATCTCACATACACAAATCATGGCTTTCTTTGAGATTTTTCCAGTGAAATCTGGGGAAAATAAACGACAAATTAATCAGTCAGTTTTTAAAAGCACTTTTGCCGATAAATAATATTTCAAACAGTCCCAAGTATTATAGCATAAGGCGTGCAGAAACCTTCTGAATGTGCGAGTCACAATGTCAAAAACTGTTCCTTCTTCCAAACTTGATTTTACCATCGATCTCTGGCAATTCTCTGCTGCGCACACCTCAACCATTATTCTTTCCAAATTTATCCATTCCTAGGGCAGAATTTAGTTTTTCTTCAAAAATTGACGATTGAAGTACAATAACCTCAACCAGCAGTTTTGAAATCAAAATTCGGATTCATATAAGAGAAGCTGTCAGGGAGAGCATTTAATATTGACGACCATTGTTTGTGTGAATATGTACTTTTGCGTTTGCTACGGGATTTTTGTGTTTTTGATTCTTTTATAATATTTGGATGATTTTTGATCTATTTTACTGTCCTTGTTCAGATTAATTCCTGTCAGTTGGAACCGCAATGGAAATAAGTTGTTTAACTTTTTTGCGTTATCCCTACTATTTTTCCTTTTGGAAATCGTTGAGTTTGCTTTTCTGTAATTTAGTTTTTGTCATAACATTTTGTGGAAATAGTGAATAAATCAAATGAACTCAGCTCAACTCACATCAAATACACTATTTCCCGCTCCGAGCATGCAGGAATAAAAGGGGGCCGGGCGTGTTTTGAAATGAAATCGACAGTCCTTTAGTACTAACGCACCGCATAGATGGGCAAGTTTACGCGTCTTGAGGGTGCACCCTCGCAAAAAGGCCCTAAATATGTCCGCCGAGCTCATTCATAAAAGTTATACACTCAAAATATTCTATATTAGAGAGGCCTGAGAGCCACGGAATTGAGGAATTGGAGAAATATGTCACTCAACCTCTGGCCCGGACTTTGGGCTTCAAATTCTGAGCAATTTGGATGCAGTCGGGTAAGAAAAATGATGGCACTATTTGGCCGTTTTGTGGAAGGATGGTTTTCAAAATGGCTGCTTTTCTGGGCAGGGACATTTTCTTCATTTTAGGGGCGGTCTGCGTCTGGTGAACATTTCTCAAAAATTCATTGGTCAGCCCCCCGAAAATTGCAAGGAAAATGAAAGGGGACATGTTGATCATCGTATTTCTGTGCAGCCCGCACACCTGTGAGAGTTGTGAGTATTTCTAAAATAATTGCGAAGTGTGAGGATTTATCATTGCTGTCTATGGGAATTTATTTGTATTGGTGCACCCTTGACGCGGAGCCCACTGAGTACGCGCAATGATTTTAGTCTATAATAATTGTGTGGTCTTTGCATGCACGCCGAACGCGTGTTAGAACCCGGTTGGAAAACTTAGTACCCCCGTCTTTCTTCCGCCGGTGAGGGTGCACTTCGGCTCAGGGCGGATAACGTTTCAATCATTCAGTATTTACGCAGCAACATTCTGTGCAGAAAGTTGAATGACTTTGTTATCTCCTTAATTAACATGAACAGCGAAAAACAGTATCTCAGAGATGGCCGAGTGGTTAAGCTCGAGGTTATCGGATCGTTAGACGGTGGGTTCGAATCCCAGAAGTGGCTTTTTTTTTTTTATTTTCCCGAC